GTATAACTGTTCTACCAAACAGGTGATATCTATTCAATACATATCTCAATTCTCTTTGTAGAATTGAGGGCAGACGTACCCCAACGCGAGGACGACTGGGGGAACTGCCTCATCAAATCTTGTGTTCCTTTATTTTCTGCATTTTCTATTACAGCTTAAAAATTAAGTGATTCTAGAATAAGTGATTTTGTCAAATTGTAGTATTGATTGAGTGAGTTGGTGAAACACTGTTTTTTAACTACTAAGTACAATAGAAATACTGTACTAAGGCTTTTTTAATCACTCATTCAACACAAATATCATTTAAGGTATTTGTGCACACCAACTGTTCGACAAAAGTGCTGAACTAAAACTGCCTTAATTTTGCTGCTAGTTTTGTGCACACCAACTGTTTGACAAAAGTGCTGAACTAAAACTGCCTTAATTTTGCTGCTAGTTTTGTGCACACCAACTGTTTGACAAAAGTGCTGAACTAAAATTGCCTTAATTTTGCTGCTAGTTTTGGTGTAATTTTTGATCATTGGAATAAGGAAATAGTACGAGTGAATCACATCTGAGTTTTGCATAAAAGTGTGTAGTGATTTACTATCCGTTATCGTCTTAATTTCATCCGCTTGACGCATATCCGGCTCTCCAATAGTTGTTCGTTTTAGACTATATTTTCCAAGGCCGCTTCCGCATTTGAAAACAATTTTGAAAACCAATTTTATTGGTAGCGCCACTCAAATTTTTAAAAGGGATCTATTCAACCCCCCCTTCTAGATCCGTGCCTTAGTCTAACAGTATGTTCCTTGGATACCCTAAAGGAGTCAAAGCTTATAGGTTGTGGTGCCTAGAGCCAGGTCACAGAAGGCGTATCTTAAGTTGAGATGTAGTTTTCAATGAAGCTAAAATAGATTTCAATAAAATTGATGATGTTTTTTGAAGTACGAAGATCTCTGGAAAAGATCTGGAAAAGGAAAAGATTCTTGTTGAGGTGAAGCATAGTGATGTTGAATTGTATAACCCAGATGAAGTCGAAGAAGAAGCACAAGGTGTCGATGAAGATGAGGAGATTGATAATGACTACTTGTTAGCAAGATATAGGTTAAGAAGAGTTATCAAGCTACCTTAGAGACTTGGTTATGCATATCGCATAACATTTGCCTTAATCTTTGCATATGAGGTTCTTAATAAAAAAACTTAGATACTACAAGGAAACTGTGAGGAGTCGAAATAAGTATGAATAACTGAAAGCCATGGATGATGACATGAAATCTCTTCATGATAATAACACATGGGAGCTGATCGAGAAACTTGTTGGAGCCAGGTTAGTTAGCTATAAGTGGATCTTCAAGGTTAAGGAAGGAATCGTAAGAGAGATGTCGAAGCGATTTAAGGAAAGCTTGGTTGCTAGGGGGTTCACTCAAAAAAAAGGTGTCGAATTCAATGATATTTTTTAACCTATTATAAAGAATAGATCCATTAGAATGTTGTTAGCCATGATGGAAAAGTTCGACGTGAACAACACCAACTTCCTTTAACATGAACAACATCGTCAACTCGATCATGTCCAATGTCAGTAAATACTCAATATTAAAAGTATAGAGTAAGGATTTCTTTGATAATTTAGATATGTTGGTCACGAGAGAGGTTGAGTAGATCAATGAGCTAGATATTTAGGTGGAGAATGGTCTCTTGTATATTGTTAAGTTATGAAAATGGTCTCTTGTTGTTGTTGTTGTTGTTGTTGTTCTTGTTTTTGCTCTTGTTGTTCTTGTTGTTATTCTTATTTTTGTTCTTGTTGTTATTATTGTTGTTGTTATTGTTATTTTTCTCGTTGTTCTTGTCGTTCTTGTTGTTGTTTTTGTTGTCCTTAGTGTTCTTGTTGTTATTATTATTATTGTTATTCTTGTTCTTCTTGTTATTGTTCTTATTATTCTTGTTAATCTTGTTGTTATTGATGTTGTTATGTTAAAATATTTAATATTGTATATTGTGATGAAATTTATAGATGTAGTCAAGCAAAACATGTGGCAAAAATTAAAAAAAAAATGCTGATAGACCTTTCACAATAGGTATTTAAAACAACCGTGATTATAGGTAATACGCTTTTCAGTTTTCTACAACGTTCATACGACCGTGATTGTAAGTAACACATATACAACCACAAGCTACGTAACAACGGCCGGTCCTGCATGATAACATGTCTTTTTTAACCATTGTTGTATGAGTTTTTTGTAGTAGTGAACTTTGAGTATGTAGGAGAATCTCATTGGCATAGTCAAAACAAAAGACTTCCTGGATTTATTTCCGACTAGACAACCTTCATAGAGTTTGCCGGGTATCTCAAGACTTGGTATACCGGTTACCATATTTCAAGTGATCAGTTGATTGAGCGACCTAAATTTCAGATGGCCAAACATTAGATGCCACAACCAACTATTTTTGTGGTCGACAACTATTTTCAGACATTGTACCTCAGTCGAACTGATCATGGTCTTAAATGTTTTATTCTTTGACAAAGGAGATTTCAAGACCGATTTATTCTGGATGTCGAAAAGTTTTAAGGCTCCATCTTTCATAACCACTGAGAACCCATTTTTGACCAGTTGTCCAACACTTAGCAGATTACACTTCATTCTAGGGACATAAAGTACATCTTTGATCAAGGCTTTCGCTTCATTACACCTTTGAATAACTATGTTGTCAGTACCTTTAGCTTGCAACGAGCTATTATCATCAAGTTTAACCTTGCTCTTCTTCGAATCGTCGAAATCTGTTAACTATACTTTTTGACCAGTCATGTGATTCGAGTAACCTGAGTTGAAGAATCAGATATTGGATTTGACATAGTCATTTGCAGCTGCAGCCATAACCACCATATCATCTGAATCATTTGAATCTTGGCGTGTAAGGTTCGTTCCTTCGTCCTTACCTTTTGTCGATCCCTTGACTTTCCTGTACCAACAATGCTTGGCCAAGTGACGACACTTTTCACAGTTATAGCAATGCACACCTTTTTTTCTCTTATTTGTCTTTCTGATAGGAATTTCCTTCTCCTCTTTTTCAGGATTCAGAAGCTCTATCATCGAACTTATTCTTTTGAGGATTCGACCAAGACTTCTTGCCCTGAGTCTTGTCGACTTTGCCTTTGAACTTATTGGAACCACCATTTTTCTTCCATGACTGAGCCTGTAGTGCTTGTATCGAGTTTTGAACTCCTTTCCTTTCGACAATCCTAATCTCATGCGCCTCCAATGAACCAACCAAATCTTCTAGTTTTAGGGTTTCAAGATTGTTAGATTCTTGAATAACTATGATAATGTGATCAAAGTAAGAGGTCAATCTATGCATTACCTTTTCAACTATCATCTTATCAGTTATGGTTTCACCATAACTTTTCATGAGATGGACGAGTTTATGCAACTTCGACACATAACCTGAAATCTTTTCGTCTTCTCTCAGCGACAATAATTCATATTGTCCTCGCAAAGTTTGCAAGTTGACAACCTTGACTTTCTCATCTCCTTCATAGTACTTGACAAGAATATCCCATGCCTCCTTCGCTGATTCATCATGAACGATTATGTCAAAATTAGTCGCATCAACCGCCGATTGGATGTAAAACACCACCTTGCAATTCTTCTTCTTGGCATCCTTCTAAGTGGTTCTCTGTGCGTCGGTTGCATCTTCACCAAACGCAGGAACGTCGTTAGTAACCACTTCTAGGATTTCATGAAAGTCAAATAGAGATTGCATTTGTTTTCTCCATCGAAGTCAATTCTTGTCGTCAAGAGTTGGAAGAGAGTTTGGTAAATTTTCGTTACCATTCATCTTTGCAGCGATTGATCAACAATAACTTGTTATTTCGGAAACACGATCTCTGACATGTGATTCTTGAAAACACGATCAATAACTTAACCGAAACTCTAGATACAAATTTGTTAGTGCGTGAGACACTTTTAGTGAGAAGAGAAAGAGAGAATAAAAAAAATAAAGATTGTATTAATTAATAGAATGATAATAAAACTAAATTACAAAATATCTATTTATATACACCTAAATAACTTAACTATTAAATAAAATAACAAATAAAATAACAAACTCTAACCTTAATTAACTTTAAATTTAGACCACACAACTCAATTTAAATTATATTTAATATCTCTACCCATAGATTTTTCATGGCAAAAGCAAGAAATTGAATTTAATCACATTATTACAAACTAGTCTTTTATTCGATGAATAATGGTCCAAGAAAAGGAATATCACTATATAAATGATTTGACTTAACATACAAATCAATATATATAAGTTATAACAACTATATGTCATATCATACATATATAGACAGATGATATATACATGAGACATACGTGACCAGCACCACCTAAGAGGCTATAATAATCAAACACATGATAGAGCCTTGTGAGGCCTATGTCCACTTTCTTCTTCTCTTTGGATGAGCTCATTTATTGCACCCCTATAACTCTAGGACAATGAACCTTCTTATACCTACTACTTCTTTTTTATTAGAATAAATTTATTTATAATATTTTTCGTTTTCAATTTCGATTCAGTTGCAATTTTAATTTTGATACGGTTTAATTTCAGTTTCGGTTCGATTTTAAAACAGTTGTGTAATATGATTTAATTTATTAATCAAATATAATAGTTTTTTTATTTTACTTCAGTTCGATTCAATTTGGCGGTTCGCTTTATAGATTGCGGTTCGGTTCAAATATAATAGTTAAACCATTTTTTTTGGCTTAAAATATATATGTCCCTTATTTTCCTCTCTTGTGTTCAACGCTCAACGAACCAATTCCTTAAGCTATACCTTCTTTTGTCACTTCCTCTTGTTGCTATAAGGCGATTAACACTATGATATCATTTTTCATCTTATAACTCAATTATATTTAAATAATTTTGTTCATGAATTATTACCTTTTTTTTTTCTTCTCGTCATAGATATTGAGATATTAATGTCTTTGTGAGCTTGTAAAATCCCATAAACCATGGAGTTGAAGAACCAAAATTCAAGATATAAGAGACTATGCAACTGGTTCACCACTAAGCAAAAGGAAAATTCCAAAAATCTTTCTCTTCAGTCATTGGAATTTGATTCATGCATTTCAACAAACAAGTTAAGGTAAATTAATTTGAATAAAGTTGTAAAAGAAATGTTTATGTAACTAGTCTATGATTTTTGTGCTATATGTGATTAATTATATGGATGTATTTTTCAGAATCTTTGTAGGTACTTGGAATGTTGCTGGAAAATCTCCTATAGGAAGTTTAGCTGTTGATTTGGATGAGTGGTTGAATCTCAAGAACTCTGCAGATATATATGTTCTTGGGTACGTACCATCCGTGTCATGACACAATTGATCATAGGCCGTTAAATTAAAAGATTTTTTTTTTAAAGAATTATTATTAATATCGACATGTCTTGACCAGACATGTTATATTTAGATATATCTTTATATTTGTTTCATAGTGTCCTGGCAAACCGCTCAAGTGATACGAATTAGGGTTAATCTTGTAATCTGCAGGTGAACTTGATTATTTGAGAGGTGGACTAATAGAAAAATCTTTTCAATTTTTCAGGTTTCAAGAGATAGTACCTTTGAAGACATTAACAGTTATAGGAGCAGAGGATTCATCTGTAGCAACAAATTGGAACAATCTCATAGGAAGAACACTATCATATAATGAAAACTGTTACCAAGATATTGGAGAAAGCAACAAGAAAAAGTACAAGATGGTAGCAAGTAAAAAGATGGTTGGAGTATTCATAAGTGTGTGGTTAAGAGAACAAGTCTTGGAAAAATATTGTGTTTCAAATGTGAGAGTTTGTTCGGTTGCATGTGGTGTTATGGGATATTTAGGAAACAAAGGTTGTGTGGCAGTTAGTATGTTGATTGAAGGGACAAGTTTTTGTTTTGTTGTAGCACATTTAGCTTCCGGAGAAAAGAAAGGTGATGAAGGTAGAAGGAACCATCAAGTTGAAGAGATTTTTAGGAGAACATGTTTTCCTAGGACATCAAAACATCATCAACATCCTCTAACAATCTTAAGCCATGAGTAAGTTTGTCTCTGCAACACTCACACAAATACATATATCAGACACAGACATATTGTCATATGATATTTAATTAAGTATAATTATATGTATCAGGATCAGACATTCACACATGTCAGACACTATTTACATGTTGTGTAAGAAGTGTCGAAGTTACATAGACTAACTAAGTTTTTGATTATGTAACAGTCGAATATTTTGGTTTGGAGATTTGAACTATAGACTATATTTGAAAGACCATCTTGCTAGACATTTAATAAGAAAGCAAGATTGGAAGGGTTTGCAAGAGTTTGATCAACTTCAAAAAGAGTTAGAAGGTGGAGTTTTTGAGGGTTGGAAAGAAGGTAACATTAAATTTGCTCCAACATATAAATATGCATCTTCAACTAGCAATATCTATTGTGGTGGTGACCTTCCAACTAGGTCAGGGGAAAAACAAAGAACACCGGCGTGGTAACATATTCTCACTTACTTATTCTTTTTTAGTTTTTCGATTATAAGTTATAAAGTAGCGATTTGAATCATCTTAGCTAAAAAATCTTACAAATTCATTTTTTTAATGTTTTTTTTATCGACTATCGTTGAATCAAGATCAGACAGTTTTAATTTAAAATTCCAAATTTTTAAAAAATCAAAATTATTTTACTTTTTGCAATGTCCAAAAGTGCGCCTTTGAACACATGAATTTTAATAACTATGTAACATTATTGGTGGGACAGGTGTGACAGAATTCTATGGTATGGTAAAGGAGTTGAGCAACTTCATTATATTAGAAGTGAAAGCAAATTCTCTGATCATCGTCCTGTTTCAGCACTTTTCTCAACACAAATTGAAATCAAATCATCTACTAGAGGACTTATGGAATTGGAACATAACCCTTCAATAATTTTGCATCCTAATCATGTAAGTGTTTTGTGCTATTTTGTTAGATATGAATAAAAAGATTTGCTATTCAATTTTAGATAGAACTCAAAACTCACATTAAACACTTATGTTAATTAAAACTGATGCCATGAATATCACGTGTTAAAAAATTCTCATACGAGAACGATTATTACAAGGGATTTTCATATCATCGGTTTTAAATAATACAATGTTCAAGAATCGATAAGAAAAACATTAGATATGTTTTAAGAAAGTAAGAAGAAGATTATAGTGAAAATTTTAAAATTAGTATTTTAAGATAATGATTTGAATTAATTTTTGCAGATAGTGAGAAAAGGAGAAGAAGATGAAAACTCAACCTCATTGTCATTGTTAATGAAGAATGTACAAGGTTGATAATACAAGCAATTTATCTTTACATTATAACTAAGGATGATAAATGTTTTCAGCCAGGTTATGATAATTAGGAAAGTGACAAATAATTGCTTTTCTAAAAAGCCAATGATTTTTATTTTTTTGGAGATCAAAATTGTATAAAGGTTAAGGTTAGACTGCAAAATATGGTAAATACGATTAATGTTGAGAAAACACTGAAGGATGCTTTTTTTAAAAAACTTTAAATTGGACAAGGTTTGTTATTAAGAGATACATTTTTTATATAAAAGAAAAAAGACAAGAATAATGAATACATTTTTTCTAGGTCTAAAACCGTTATTTACTTGGGCCTTTAGCCAGCCATGTATTTAAAGACTCGGAAAATTAAAGAGTTTCTTATGTCATTCTTTGGGTTATTAGTCGGAGGAAATAATTTATTTGTAAATATAGGGGTCTGACTCAAAAACAAATAAAATACGTGTTTTATAATAATTTCGGAGATGTATTTTTAAAAAAGCTCAAAGTTGAATAAAAAAAAGATGTGTTCGAAAATATATCTTCGAAACCTGAAGACATTTAAGAAAACCTGCATAATATTAAAAGAGACAAAGAATAGAATAAAAATTCTCAAAAATTATACTTAACAACTCACACCTTTACCAAACACACCACATGTACGATGAAATGACTATTGATTTTTAATTTTAAATAAAAGTTGTGTAAAACAAAACTTAAAATAAAAGTAAATGGTCAAACTTAATTTACTTTTACAGACTTTTTAATTTTTTTTTTTAAATTTTGAACTTTTATAAATTTGGACAGATATTTCAAATATGCTACACAAATGTGATAATAATAACGAATTTCATGCATTTATACTAGTTATATAATAAAATTAGTATTATCAATTTCAAATTTAAAAAATATTTTTATGGAAAAATTAGAGGTGACAATGAAATCCATTTAGATAATATCCATCCAATCCATCCATAAGACAAAACTAATTTAATGGATTTGATTCAATCCATCCACTAACTCATATGGATGGATTCAATCCATCCATCTCATTTTATAAATCCATTGGATATTATGTTGTCACTTATTAAATTAAGAATTTTTAAATTAGTTTTTTGGATGGATGAATATCCATCCATTAGAAATATGTTAATTGATGGATTGGATGAATTTTATCTTTTAATTGATGAATTGGATTGGATTTTTATTAAGAGAGTTTAGTGGATTGTTAATGGATTAATGGATTGCTTTGATCCATCCATTAACAATCCAACCATATCCATCCAATCCATCCATTTTGCCACTCCGAGGAAAAACATTATATTTTTTTATAAATATGATATAAATGCATGTAAGCATCAGAAATTTAGGAAAATCAAGTATAATGTTAGTGGTGGTACTAAATTTTATCAAAATTTGGAAGACTTTCTAAAAAAAACTTATTAGTAATTTCATTTATTTATTTTATTGAGATAAAGAAAAGAAGACGGTATCACCATCCTTAAATTGAGATATATATATGTTAGTGATGTTAGAGTAGGAATGACAACTAAAAAGAACATAGCGAGTTTAAACATTACTAGCCCCATCCTCGCCTCCGTCTACCAACCCTGCATGCGCCTCTAGTAGGGGTTAACAATTGATCACCCACCTCATCCCTAATGGAGAATGGGTTTTTTTGCGCCCACTTGTAGAAATTGTAATTTATTTTTAAAATATATATTTTTTATTGCATTAAAAATTAATAATTAAATTAATTAATTGATCACTTTAATAATAATAATAATAATAATAATAATAATAATAATAATAATAATAATAATAATAATAATAATAATAATAATAATAATAATAATAATAATAAAAATAATAATAATACTTGTTCATTTTTATTTATTTTTTTTAAAATGAATAATAATTCTAATCAATTTCCTATCTTAATATTAAGATAAGTAAATAAGTAGTAAAATTATTAAATATAAAGATAATAAAATAAATTTAATAGGCTGGGTAGCGCGGAGTGGGTTCAGTGTGGATATTAACATCCCTCTTCATCGTAATTAAAAACTGAGTTTTCCTTGCATCTGCCCTGCCCCTAGTTGAATCAATTTTTTCCCGTTAAATTCAAGGCGAGGATGGTTAGGTCCGGTCGGGGACAAATTTTTTTGTCATGCCTATGCTGGAGAGAGGTCGAAAGTTGACATAGCTAATGTTATTGATCATCCTTTTTGTATTATGGCAAGTAGATTAGCACTCGTTAGTTCTCATCGTATGAAGAGCGAAGAAATTCATGGTGTTAAGTAAGCCCTAATAGCCAATCGATATTGGTTGTATATGCTTTTGTATCATGACCTTGATATATATCATATGTACTGCACTAGATGCACCATATGTTATGAGTATAAACAATAAGTACCAAAACTGATTAAAGTGTTCATCATTAGATCACTATCAAGAAAGTCCATGGATTCCTTAAAAGGACACGGTGTTCCTTTTCTTGAGAGAATGTGAGAATAATCATTTTATGGGAATTAGAATGATGTTTTTCCAAAATCGATGAACAATATATCCATATCGCATTATACTGTGAAAGATGCAAAAAGACTTCAGACAAGTATCGTTTCTAGTACAAATATCAAATATATGATTTGGATCGCTTTGCTCATTTTTAGAATAAAGTTGTGTTTCTTGTATTGCATATCTTATTGATTTCATTCATGATTATCATGGGTTAATCTTAGCGATCCATGTATATATATTTTGACACTTCTTTTTCTTTTCGATAGAATATCGAAAGTTGAAATTGAAAGAGGTGTATATTGTCAACATAGAAAAGAGTTCCTTATACCCTAATAAAGTATCATGCTTAGATGATGCTTGATGTGCACAAGGGGAATATATATATATATATATATATATATATATATATATATATATATATATATATATATATATATATATATATATATATATATATATATATATATATATATATATATATATATATATATATATATATATATATATATATATATATATATATATATATATATATATATATATATATATATATATATATATATATATATATATATATATATATATATATATATATATATATATATATATATATATATATATATATATATATAATTGGATTTAGTGCTAGTGAGATATTGTTGGAATAAACTGTAATAGTTGATTAATATTGGTTGTATATGATTTTTTATCATGACCTTAATTTTTTTTTGTTAATATATATATTTATTAGGCATTGTATTCATTGTGTTACTTGTATATGATATAATAGATTCTTTAGAATAATTAGTTTGTTTAATGATACATTAAATGTTACTTAATTGTGAGACCTCATTAAACATAAAAATGTTATTCTTAAAGTATTCGTAGTCAAGCTTTACTGTCAAATCAGACAACAGAAATGCACATAGACTATTATGCGAGTAGACGAATGAAAATATCTTACGGGTTCTGGATATGAATTATCAAGTCGTTATGTATGTATAAATATTAGGAGTAATATTTATATTGTATTGACCCATCATGACAATACAACATAGTTTGTTATGTAAGTGTCATAAGTTATTCTCATAGTGATAGTGGTGTACATCACCCTTAAACTTGAAACCACTATGGACCCTAGATATGGAGTCGAGTATTTTATTGCCAATCAAACATTACCTATAACAAAGTGACCATAAAGATGGTTGATGGGTACTCTACAAATCATGCACAGGGATATGAGTGACCTAGATGAGATTTGCTTCTCCTACATATACAAAGTAATATCTATGAGCCCCTTGATCGAGATGACTAAAATGCACGGTCGTGCACAAATAAATCGATATAAGATATTGAGCTTATTTGTTAGTATCAAGTATACCTGGGGATCAAGGAATATAATATTGAAATATACAAGGGAGATATATTGTACGTCTTGTATTCAATATAGATATAAGGGAAAATGGTAATTATGCACATGATCATTATCATACAAAGGTTATGTGAAATCGTGTGACATTCTCGTCACTTGGGTGACAGTAATGTGTTGTTAGATATTGCTCATTCTATAGTATTAAATAGGTAATTTAATATTATTGTCAATGTTACGAAACCTACAGGGTCACACACATAGATTACTGATAGTGGAATGGATGATTAAATTAAATAAGATTTAATTTAATTACGTGTTAATAGTATTTAAATTATTTAATACATTAACACATATATATTTTATTTTATTAAATATGATTTAATTAAATAAATGAGAATTAACAATTGATAAAATTAAATATGATTCAATTTAATTAGTATTTTATTTAAGGCAAAAGTATTGTTTTAGTCCTTTAAGTTATTTTAAAATATCAAATTAGTCCCTTAAGTTTTTTTGTAACGCTTTGATCCCTTTTTAAAAATCTCCGTTATAATAAATTGCAAACTCATATACCATTTGAACTGGTTTTTCACGCTGATAACGAATATGCAATCAAATTTATCAAACAAGTTACAGTTCATGAGAATCAGGTAAAAGTGGATGAAATACATAATGAAAAATCAACGATCTGACCAAAATACACAATCAAACGTAAAACTAATTACATATGCGTGATCAGCGCGAAAAACCAGTTCAAATGGTATATGAGTTTGTAACTTATTGTAATGGAGATTTTTAAAAAAGGACCAAAGCGTTACAAAAAAATTTTAAGAGACTAACTTGATATTTTAAAATAACTTAAAGGACCTAGACAATAGTTTTTCCTTTATTTAATTAAAAGAGCTTAATTAAATATAAGTAATATTCATTTAATTAAAATATTTTAGTTAAATAAAACAAGACTTATTTTGAAAAAATCCAAAGTAAGCACATTAGGGTTTTAATATCTCTCTATAAATAGAGATTCTCTTTCCCTTGCAATCATAATTGTCAATTTTGTCATTCTCAAAAAACGGCTAGCACTGGGTTCTGTCTTGTGCTCGTGTAGACTACG